AAATAGGAGCATGAATAAGTGGTGAGAGGAATGGGGATTATTTAACTGGGACAGAGAGGCTGGCAGGTGACTTAGTAATAGGCTTCCAGTTTGTGGAGGGTTAGCACAGGGAGACTGGCTTCCCACTACCAGGGAAGAAACGACACTGACAGTGGGAGGTAGGGGAGCCTGAGGCTGAGGAAGAACTTCTAATCACAGGGTCTGTTAATTATAGCAAAGGAGGATGGATCACAAGCTCTTCACCGAGTGGTCTTCCCAGACAAGAGCAGCACTGGGATGGTGGTAGGGCTTTCTGTGAGTCATCTGGTGCAGAGCTTCCTGATCACTTGTCCTCAGATAGTAGCAAGATGGCTGCCTCAGCATCTCCAGGAACACATGGTAAAAATACAAATTTCTGGGCCCTACCCAGACCTTCTAGTTTAGAATTTCTGGGAGGAAAGTCCAGGTGTCTGTATTCTTATACATCCCCACCCCCAGAGAAATGTAGAACTAACTCATGGAGAACCAAGAGGCTGGTGATGTGGAGAAGGAGAAAACGCCTCCCCAGATCCCTCTGATGTTCCCCGTAGCATCCTGCTGGTGCTTCCACTGCCCATGAGCTGCTCCGGAGCCCAGGCCACACCTGCCCTGGTGACTCTGTCCAGCATCCCTGCTGAGCCACTTGGAATGGACCCTGGGGCATCAAAGCTGCCCTACGGCTCTGAAGAACCCCTGTGTCTCTCCTTAATCACAAGGGTTCTGGGAAAAATGCTCATTCCACGTTTTTGTTCTAGACTTCACTGGCCATCACTGAAGTTTTAGGTGGCTGTTCTGTGGAGTTTTCCAATGCCAAGGGGTCCCTCAGACACAACCACTGCCCCAAAATGACTAGAATGGAGTGAGCCTGGGAGTCAAGGTATAGTATCTCTCTTGAGCTTGAGCAGGCTATTTTACCTCTCCCCATCGCAGTTTCTTTCTCTGGAAAATGAGGCACCCAGCCTGGACAATCTCTTAAGTTCCTTTCAGCTTTACCTTTCTGTCTCTACTGGCTGTTTGAAGAATTGCAATGCTTGAAGAGCATAAAGTCATAGATTCAGTATAATATTTTGTAGTGGAATATTTTAAATTCAGTGTTTTTTTTTTCTTTATATAACTTACCTTGGGGATGTTGGGAAGGATGAGGGAAAATACACGAATACACCCAACTCCAGCGAGCTCAGCACGTCTGTGGGCCTGCCGTTCACCGTGCGTGACCATGCACAAGCTCTCTCATCCCTTGGTGGCAGCAAACCAAACTACACTTGCTGTTCTTTGGCCTCAGAACAGTTTTTTCTTTGTTTTAAATGTGTATCTTGGAATCAATGAATATTGTTCATGGGAACACTAGGAAGGTTGGGGGGCTGCAATCATTATTTCACACACTTACTTGCTTGTTTCTTGCTGAATTCAAGATTGCAGTGATACTTCAAAAAAAAAAAAAAGCTCCAGTGTCAATTATTAATTTTGCTTGTAAGATTTTGGGAACAGCCACACCCTGACACTTAAAAAATAGTAATGAAATGTTAGTATAAGAAAAATTGCTATCTGCTTATCCCAACCCTCTATCTTAGTAGCTGAACCTAATTCGAGGCACATTGCTACCTACAGTGTAATAGTAGATTTTCCAGTCTCCTGTATGGCCAGGTAAGTTGTGGACAATGATAGAGATAAATTACTATAAGCTATCATTTAAGGAAGTCTTTTTTTAAAAAAGTAAGAAAAGGATTCTTTTTTCCTTTCTCCCTTCCTCCCTTCATTTCTCCTTCCTTCCCTTCTTCCTTTCTCCCGTCTTCCCAGAATGCTGTTTTAATGGCTGGAGTTCCAGCAGCCACTTTAGACCCTAACATGGAAATCAAGCATTGAGGATGGCAAAGCAAAAAGCTAAAAGCCTGAGACATGTTGACCATGGGGCTACCATCCCACCCCATGACTGTCTCCCTTCAGACATCTTTTATGTGAGAAAAAAATGACGCCACTATTATCTTTTGTTTTACTTACACAGCTGAACCAAATTCTAATGAATCCATATAGGTTCATTCTGAGCAGATGATGGTCAGAGCAAGATGGAGCTCAGAGCAGATGGAGCTCTGAGCAAGATGGAGCTCTGAG